TTTAAAAATAGACAAACCCAAACATTAAATGGTTAGATAGATCATTTTCTTTAAAAAGTTTCTTTAGTTAAAACAAGGATCAGCAGACTTTTTCTGTAAAGGGCCTGATAAATATTTTAGGCTTTGTGGATGTTTCTGTTTTTCTGTTTGTTTTGTTTTTACAACGCTTGAAAAACGTAAAATTCATTCCTCGTTTACTTGGTACCAGGCTGCAGGCCAAATTAGGCCCACATGCCATCATTTGCTAGAACTTGCTCTAACAATAAATTTGTTACCTTTTATATCAAACTTAAAGTATAAACACTTCATTGTGTAATTTTCTCATAGATTTGATCAGATTTTTCTTTAGAGTACAAATGCTTTCCAGATACATATTAGGGTCCATATTTCCATGACTGCAGGGAAACAGTCTCAAAATCATTGCAGGTTAACTTTGACTTTGTCAATATCTTTCCATTTCCCTTTTGATTGTGCTCAGCTAATCAAAGAAAAGATTTTTTTCACATTCAGGGCTCTTCTCTTGCTTCCTTTCCCATTTTTAGCACAAAATAAAAGAAAGTTCCATTTCATTTGTCCGGTTACTATCTCTTTAATTAGCTGTCTTTGTTTTGTTTTAACTGGAAAACAGTTATGAAAAGTACCCCCTTCCTTTCCAATCTTTTATAATCTGTTTCTTAGATCAGGTGGAATTTAAACACATCTTTTTCTCAGCAATTGCTTAGACAAAGTATGATTTTTTTAAAAGGTTTTTTTTTTTACATAGAAGTTGAAATTACAAGCATGTTAATATATCTCATAGCATTTTTTTTAAGTTTATTATCTCTTCCTGGAAAAAAATGACGTTTGAAGAGAAAAAAAGTTTCCAAGCAAGCTTTTTTAGATGACAATGCCACATTTTAAAAAACTTTTCCATTACAGACATCAATTGACCTTCCTCTTGTGTTCAGAAAAAGAGATTCTACCCTTTACAAAAACTGACGGGATTTAAGAATATGCCTGAAAAGTAATTTCCTCCTCAACCACTGTCCTATTTACACAATATCTTCACTAATGTGATGAGATCATGAATACAAATGATGTTTATTCACTTCACAACTCAACTTGACTGATTCTTTGCAGGTGTTCACTAATCCCACTATCCCCTGCAGAATGGCATGTCTCTTTCTCTGCCCTTTAAGTCCAAGACCTTTCTATCTTGTTTCATCGTGTTCTATTCCAATACAAAATGTCATCTTTAAGGTAGACCTAAACCTTCAGAGGCAGACACAACAATTTAAAAAAATAGTCATCATCTCTCTCCACAAGGAAGAGCCTTACTCAATGGAAAGACATGGGGCTCTCTGCTTACTCTTTCATATTTATAAATTAGCTTAGACTCTGCTGAACCCAAGCTGAAAGATAATGATAAAGGTGAAATTGTGAAATCAAAAAAAGAAAAAAGAAAAGATCTCCAGTGTCAGCGTTAGAAAACTGAAGCCAAAGGTCACAGCTGATACAAAAGGTGTTATCATGACAAAGAAAGATTGACAACTTAAGTGAGAGAAATGGAAAATCTCAAATGAACAATTTTACCAGAGTGTACAAACTATTTATTTAACCTTCACCTACTAAACATACTAGGAAAGCATTATTAAGAGGATTTCAATGTCACCTTTATCCATTGTTAGTCCAATGGCTCTGTTATGTTAAGCAAAGTGTGTGCCCCGACAAATTGCCAGAATGCTATACTTCCATCTAATAATTGTTCTAGATCATTGATAACTATGAATACAGGTGTTTCTTGACTTCCAATGGTGTTACGTACCAATAAACTCATCGTAAGCTGAAAATATCATAAGTCAAAAAATCATGTAATACACCTAACCTACCAAAGATCACAGCTTAGCCTAGCCTACCTTAAATGGGCTCAGAACATTTACATTAGTCTACAGTTGGGCAAAATCATCTAACACAAGTCCTATTTTATAACAAAGAGTTGAATATCTCTGTAATTTATCAAATACTATATATTTCATTGAAATTGTGATGGTTTGAGCCTTGTCTGTTGCCTCAGTTGGTTAGAGTGTGTCACTGATAACATCAAGGTCCAGAGTTCAATCCCTGTATCAACCAGCTGCCAAAAAAAAAAGAAAGAAAGAAGGGAGAGAGGGAAGGAGGGGGGAAGAAAAGGGAGGGGAGGGGAATGTAAGTGAAAGGAGGGAGGGAGGGAGGTAGGAGGGAAGGAAGGAAGGAAGGAAGGAAGGAAGGAAGGAAGGAAGGAAGGAAGGAAGGAAAAAAGGGCGAAGGTTTTGTATCTTTGTAAAGTCAAAAAATCATAAGTCAGAAAACATCTGTAGGGGCTTCCGGTCAATATGGCAGAATAGGCAGTCCCCAGTGTCACTCTCTCCCATTAATTTACAACTATTAAGAAGCAATGACAGCCAAGATGAGGCTGCTAGAGCTCAGGGGAAAAGAAGGAGAGATCTATGGAGTCCATGAAGGCAGAAGTCACAATGAGAGGAAGAAAGGATTACTCCTACCATCTCGAGTCCCAGATGCTTCAAGGCTGGAGCTGGTGAGTGCACAGAACAAGAGCTGGCAAAAGCCACAGCTGTGCCCTTTGTATGAAGTTGCTTGGAGGCAGCAAGGTAGAAGAGGGCCTTTATGTCCCCCGGGCCAGCAAGACCACTAATAAGGTTCCCATGGACCCACATAGGAATGAGCAGCCACAACAACTGAAAAAAGGAGCCACTCAGAAGCTGGTGTGTCATCTCAAGGGACCGGCACACAGCCCGCCCCATGGGAAGTGTTTGGAACACGGATGGTGGGGGAGACGGGCCACCAGGGGAACACTGGGGCACAGCAAGGACAGACCTGATCTGCCCTCCAATCAGAACAGGACCACTCTGACCAGGAACTGCAGGGGATGCAGTTTGCTGAAAAGACTCAGGCCCAGACCAGAGTTTCTACACAACCCAGGTGTACTGGATCTCACAAGACCTGGAAGTACCTACAAAAACAAGCATTAAAACCTGAGCTGCACAAAAAGCCTTCCCCAGGGAATCAGCAGCAAAGCAACAATTTAGCTCAACCACAGAGCTCAAGTGCTGGTCCCCACAGGAAGTTCCCCTATCTTAGAAGTAAGCAAAGGACAAAAAATTAGTTTCAATGTAGAGTTTAAGTGGTGGGAATAGCAAATAATCCAACACAGAACTAAAAGAAAAAACAAAATACCCACAGACCAGAGACAAAGTTTGATATTAACTAGTAAAGGTCTCACTTCACCAAAGAACACCTATAAAACTTAGAAGGATCAGAAGCCCCCTGGACTGCCAAGCCAGGGAGTGGGAAGGGCCGGGGGCCTTGGCCAACCCCCCCCAGCACTGGCACCCAGCCCAGCCATGACCACCAAACCACTGCTGAAAGCCCCCTAGTCTCCCAAGCCAGGGCAGTGGAGAGCCGAGGGCTCTAGCCACACCCTCCTGACAACTGCATTCAGCCCAACAATGACCAAGACACCACTGGAAGCCCCATGGTCTGCCCTTCAGGAATGAGGGGGGTGCCGTAGGCCTCAACCATGCCCCTCCTCCTTCCTCCTTTTCCCACCCTATTTCCCTCCCCCTTTCTCTCTCCCCCTCTCACCCAACTGCTCTGTAACAGCATCTTAGAATGTATAAACAGATGGAGCTAGGGACTGACCCCTCCTCCTGTCTCCAGACATGCCGCTGCTGCCATGGGGCCCACCCAGGGTCCTGAGGCATGAATCTGGGGTTGATCCCTCCTCCCACATCCAGGCAAGGAGCATGCCAAAAACACCAGTTCCATGTGGGTGGCCCAGCACAGCCACCACAATAGCCACAGCTGCTGCAAAAGTGGCTAGACACCACAACCACTATGCAGATGGCCTTCCAGGCACTTGAGTGTATTGACACAAGGAGAGTCACCAGCAGAGATAAAGAAAAGAAGAAGATGTCTCTCTTCACAAAGCCCATTCCAGAGTGACAGAAGAAGCATCTGCTCTATGATAATAGTGGGAGACCTGAACACACCTCTCTCAGCACTGGAGAGATCATCTAGGCAACAAAACAACAGAGAAACCATTACTCTTTCAGAAGGAGAGAAGAAATCTAGGGTTACCAGACGGGGGAGAAGGGAGGGACAGAGGGGTGGGGAGAAATTGGATAAGGGGCATAAAGAGTAAGTATGATTTGTAATAATGTATATACTAATAATATTGATTTGACCAACATACGTCAACATTGAACCCAAAAAATATGTATAATCAGTTATAATTCGATTTTTTTAAAAAAAGAAAGAAAACATCTGAATATAAAAATATTTTGAAAATGAAAATGAATTAAGCACATTTAAGACATTAGGACTGATAATGTAGATAAAACATCATAGAAGGAAATCAAAAGCCAAAGAAGATGAATATCATTCCTTTTCTTTTTTCTTGCATATATAGACATAATTTAGATTATATTTGTATAGTCCCTGACAAGACTAGTCAAAGCTGAGATATTGTTCTCTATGACTTTTCCAGGCCAATTTTCTGTTGGTACCACTGCCAAATTCTCTTGCTCTTAACTTCAGATTATTTCTCTAAACCAGGAAGTGGATTCCATAGACTCTTCCATCCTGCAAAGACCTTGTCTAAACTCCAGTGGAAGTCAACTCATAACTTTAGTAACAACAGAAAATACATGTCAAACTACAGAAACAAATCCTAAAATAATATTGATACAGTAAAGGCTGTTATGATTAACTGATTGAAATAATTGATGTTCTCCATATTCTCTTTATGTTTTACAGAAAAACTAAAAAGCATAAAATAGTCTTTAAAAATCTATAGGGCTGGGAATCAGGGTAGAAAGCAGCTTAGCAAAAGCCTTCTACTATAAATTCTACTTTAGTGAACTTTCTGAGTAACCAACCAAGGTCTGGTAGTGACTGAATCAAATAAGAAGCTGCTGCTGCTGCTTTTTTTTCCCTGCCCCTCCCTACCCCCCGCCCCAACTATGAAGCTTTTTGGTGTAGAGGTGAGTGAGGACCAAAAAAACAGTTATAGCTTTTCTGTTCCAGAAGAGCAGAACTCAATGGGCAGTATATTATGAGGCTATTATGTCATGTCCCATGTCACAACACCCAATGCTAATTTAAAATATGGCATAATGGTGGCTTATAGTCTACATGTTAGTCATTTTCACATATTATTTCCAAATTTTTCACACTGTTGTCCCTCCATATCCACGGGGGATCGGTTACAGGCTCCCATCCCAACCTTGTGGACATCAAAAAATCCTTGGATGCTCAAGTCTCTTGCGCAAAATGGCATAGTATTTGCATATAACTTATGCACATCCTCCTGTATAATTTAAATCATCTCTTGATTACTTATAATACTTAATACAATGTAAATGTTATGAAAATAGTTGTTATACTGTATTTTTTATTTGCACTATTTTTACTGTTGTGCTATTTTTTATTATTATGTTTTTCCCCAAAAATAACATGGGGGGGAAAGGGAAGGAAATTTCTAGAATAAAAGGAACTAGAGACTTTAACAAGTAAATTTAAGAGCTGGCTGATTACAGTGCAGTGTTGGAACACCAAGGTCAAGGGTTCAGTTCCCTGTACTAGCCAGCTGCAAAATTAATAATAATAATAATAATAAAACAAGTAAATGTAACACACGGTCAGTGGGTCCTGGTTAGAACAAAATGACAAAATACTTTTGGCAAAAATGGGAAAGTTTGAATATGAACTAAGTTTTAGATTATATACGTGAATTAACATTGAGATTGAAGGTGTGTTATAAAAGAAAAGTTTTTTGAAGATAAACGCTGAAATACTTAGAAATTAGCTCTCATGATTCCTGTAATTTACCTTAAAATATTTCAGCAAAAAAAAATCAATTAAACATATAGCAAAATGTTAACAATTGTGAAATCTAGGGAATGCATCCATAGTTGTACATTATACTACTCTCCTTACTTTTCTGGATGTTTGATTTTTTTCAAAATAAAAAGTCAAAAATTTTTAATTATTCATATTTAAAAATCCAGTGTTTATTTTTCAGCTGTACAGCATTTGTCCTTCACCAGTATTTGGCATTATGTTATTTTTTTTTAATCCCCTGTTCTTTGCTAAATTTTACTTATTGACAGAGGAAAATAGGCAATCCATCACATTAATTGTCAGAGAGAAATCTCTCTGCTTTCTTTGAGAGGCCAACAGGAAGGGGTGGAAAATCTGTTCCTGTTTGGAGGACCTGAGCCATGATTGTTCACATCTCCATAAGTGTCAACAAGCACGGTCACGCTTTTCTTATCAATCAAGTAAATTACTCATTGAGAACCCCTGATTGTCACCGTGTTCATCTGGAAGAAATTGATGCACAAAAGACTGCTGTCAACCTCAGTGAACTACAACTATCCTTTCTTTGTCTTTGAAAGTAAATTCCTCAACAGAAGTGACCTTACATTCACTTAACATAAGAGGTTTCCAAAAGGCCTTATTTATAGTCGCCACATGTGACAGTGACAAACACATCAATACATTTCCTACTTCCAAAAAGCTCACCTGGAGAGTTATAAAACCTGAAAATTCTCTTGTGCTTTCTCATCCTTTGCGTCCAGTTACCATCCTGAAAGGATCGGCTGAAGGCAAGCAGTTGGGTTAAACATCCTAAAAAGATTCACACCACGCCAGGTATGTGGATACTTTAGATACATTCTCTTGTAAACCAGTTTTCAAGATATATACATATATTAAGTAATAGCAGTAGTTGTTCTAATATAGTTATTCACCTCTCTTCTTGCAAACTGCTAAACTATGTATTAACAGACTCAACTGAACTCGTATGTTATTAGAAGAAAGTATGATCAGTTGGAATATTTTTTTATCTTGAAAATAAAGAAAATCTGACAGTATATTAGGAACCTGATAAAATAATAAGTAACAATTCCTTTCTCCAGTTGAGCCAGATTATTTTCTTCTTAGGGCACTATAATGATAATTACCACTGAATCTTTATCATGGATCAGGCATGATCACTAGTAATACATATTATTCCAGTCAATCCTCAGACAATTTCACGATGTAAGATTGCAACGCACTCAAAGTCACATAGTAAGTGGCAGAGCTGGGATTTAAAACAAGTTTGACTGCCTCTAGCACCAGTTCGGTAAACCACAGGTCTGTATTGTGAAGTGTGTCTGTTGTAACAACACATCACATTGACATGCACACTAACTTACTTGCCCTGATATGAAATCTGTCTATATAATGATTTAACCTTTATTTTGTTTCCTAAAGCTGATAAGCTGACATGCACATATTTTATAAATAATCAAAATAAGAAAAATAAAAGGCCACATCCTTCCCTTACTCTCCCCTCCTACAACTTGTAGCCAAAAGTGCAATTATCGGGCCGGCCTGGTGGCGCACTGCTACAGTGCGCCGCTTGGGAAGTGCGGTGGCGCTCCCGCCGAGGGTTCGGATCCCACATACAGACCGGCAGCTCACTGGCTGAGTGAGGTGCGGGAGCAACGCTGAGGGTTGCGATCCCGTAGCCGGTCCTGGTCCGGTACGGGCGCGACACTGAGGGTTGCGATCCGTTGCCAGTCACGAAAAAAGACAAAAAAGGAAAAAAAAAAAAAAGTGCAATTATCCTTTGGAAGTAGCCATTCAAAAAAACATTTAAGCCTGTACTATATACCAGGCATGATGATATAAAAATGAATAAAACATAATTCCTGCCATTTAGGGATTTAGAAAAAGGGCATCAAATGGCAAAATCTTCAGTAAAAGTAATTTGGGGAAGAGTCCATTTGATATGGTTCTTTGTCCTAATAGCCTCATAACAAAGACAAGGAACATCTTTGCCTAAAAGAATCTCAAGGAACATTTACAAAACCATGTTCGGTAAGTACCAGGTAGTCTACATGATAGGTCAACAAACAGGGAGGCTTCTTGAATTAGAATAGAAATAAGAAGAAAATTATTTCTTTCTCTCATTGCTAAACTTCCTAAGATCTGCCTTTCCTAGGCAATCTTTAGTATCAATAGAAAATTCATATTGCAAACAAATTATAACAAGAATAATTCTGGACTCTCCTCCATTGCTTCCTCTCTGAAAGAATATGTTTTAGGTTTAAAGCATTTTTGCCTCACTGCTATGGAGTAATACACACACACACACATATATACATACACACAAACACACACACACACACACACACACACATATATATACACATATATATATAATTTTCTGAAACCACTGGCCTCTTTTAAACTGTACTTTCTAACAAAAATAAGACATTTACCAAAACGAACCCCTCTCCCACAATATCATAACAAACAATAAGCCATTTTTTTGCTTTTCCCAGGAGCCAGCTAAAAGATGAAAACTCTGCCACTGCTTGTGTGCATCTATGCACTGAGTGCTTGCTTCTCAGTAAGTATCCACCCAGTAAGTTTTATCCTTATGTATCAATAACAGACATTTATTGCATAAAGCTAATTGATACTTCAAAGTATAACAGACCATTCCTATTCCCAAGAAGCTTGATGTCTTTTGTTTTCTGTAAAACATAAGAAAATAGATGAAGCACAAGGAAATGATTAATTTCAATTAGTCAGTAACTACAGAACATCAACCTTATAAGGAGTCCAATGAGATCTAATGGAGAGGCAGAAAACAGATCCTGTAGGGCCTTTAGTCTTTGATGTGGAATATAAATTCAATTATAAGTAAGGAAGCCTTAAGATGCACCTAGGGGAGTCATACATGCACCTAGCGGAGTCATACATGACTCTGGATTCTGGGGAGAAAACAATGGCAGGAGACAAAAGTTGACATGAAGAAACCAGTCAGGAAGCTTTGACAGTGGTCCAGATGAAAGATGATGGTGACCTGCACTAAATGTCAGCAGTTAAAACAAAAGAGGAGGGTGGATTTAGGATATATTTTGGTGATTGCATCTACTACACCTTCTGCTGGATTTGTTGTGTGGTAAAAGAAAGAAATGAACAAGAAAGTTCTGTTTTAGACATGTTCAGTTTGAAATGACTATTTGAGTTCTACGTGGAGATGTCAAGAAGGCAGTTGGATACACATTGTCTTGAGTTTAGAAAGAAGTAAAGGCATGAAGTCTATAATTAGAACATATTTGAAGCCATGAGACCCTACAAGATCATCTGGGAGAAGATGTAAAAAGTTTGGTTATGGATAGAGAAAACTGAGGAACCACAAAAGGGGACAGGAAAGTAAGGTTTCCAAAACCAAGAGATTACAAAGTGGACCCGATCTTGAAGATATTTAGTGTGCACTGGGAAAGCAAAAATAAAATTAATAATAATCAAAGGTGATACGTGCTGTAATAGTAACCATAGTTGTCTCTAAGGTAAGACATTTATACATTTCTATGTTAATAAATTTGAAAGTCTTCTTTCAAAAGAATGTGCATTTACTGAATGAGGCTGGATAGCCTCAGAATATTATGACTGTAGAGAGTAGATAGAGGGGCAGGGGAACTGATAAAATGAATGGAATTTACTCTTGGATATTTTCATATTTTCCACTTACCATATAATATCCCCCCAAAAAAGACATCTTAGGCTTTTCCCCTGGACCTAAGATTTCTGAGAGTGTAGCAGAAAGAGCACTTAAGTTGGGCTCAGAAGATGTGAGCTTAAGCTCATCTCTAACACTGAATATCTAGATGAATTTTGAGTATTTTAAAATCTATCTATAGGGCCCCAATTTCTCTATGTGTAAAATAGTAATAACAGTGTATGCTTCATAAGGCTGTTGAGTAAATGAGAATCCACGCATTTATAAATTATAAAGCACAGTATAAATATAACAATTATGACTGTAAAACTGCTATGAACGCTATTTACATCCAGTTGAAAAGGCTTTAAGGTCTGAATGTGCACAGTGATAATAACTGTTAACTAGTAAATAGATAGAACTTACATTCCAATTGATGTAAATCATTATGCTACCCTGGAATGATGAAATCTGGATTGTTATTTTGAGGAAGCCCTTTATAGTACTTCCCACAAATCCAGAAACCTAAAGAATTATCTCTTCCACATGCTCAGGATATATAAAACTGTTCAAACCACCCAAATCTCCAAAACTTTCTAGTGAAAGAGTTTCCAACGAACGTGAATATGAGAAGGTAGCACAGGAATACTTTCAGGAAGACATACAAGAATACTTTTTGTATTTTCTAAGGACCTGATCCTTAGAAAGTACAGGGATGGACCAGAGAGTGGCACCAACCCACAGCCAGAGACCAGCCATGGAGTTCCAGCAACAACCTACTTTGGTGGAGTGATTTCAGGAAGCAGATAGTCTGGTTCCTCTTTTCAGATGTCTCAAAGAAAGACTGAGGAGCATGTATTCTGGTCAGATAAGGAGCTCTTTTAAACATAACATTATTTAACATACTGCTTCCTTCCTCTTTAGAAAAGGGTTACAGGTTTTCAAATGGTCATAAAAATAGGCTAGTAACCTCAAATGCAGAAGGTTAGTGTGCTTTCTAATTTTAAGTAAGTATGATTTTGACAGTGCACTCTTCCACTCCTCTCCCTTTTGGATTTTTTCTCTGTTTCTTTCATGACTTTTTTTTTTCCTCCTCTTCCTTCCTTAGAGGAATTTGGCATTCCTCTAGTTATTTTAGGACTCTTCTGCTTCTTCCCACCCATCCTTCCCTGCTCTGCTTTGCATGAGCCTCTCTGCCCCCGCTTTGCCTCCAGCGCACTCTCCCACTTCTCCCTTCCTTGACTCCAGACCCGTCTCACCTCCTCCTTCCCCCAATTCCAGCTTACTCTCCCCTCCTCTCTCTTGACTCCAGCCCATTCTTTCCATATTCCTCATGTCATCTCTCCCTTTAAAAGTGTGGTTTGCACATGGGGACACATTCTCCTAAAAGTTGCTTAATTTCTCTGTGACTCAGTTTTATCTTCTGTATAACAAGGATAATAATAGTACCCACTTATGGTGTCTCTAAGGAATTAAATAAATTTGTATTTGTAAACCACTTGGAATAGGGCCTGACACAAAGTACATGCTATATAATAACTTTTTTAATACAAATAAATAATGGATGTGGACAGGCAGGCAAGGATTGATATCTTTAATGAGCTCTTCCTGGCGTATCTGTATTTATTATAAGCACCTCCATTATTCAATTATCTACACTCAAAACCTTAGGGGCATAAACTTTCAAATTCATCCACTCCCAAACTTCCCTAAACACAATTTCTTTTTTAAGGTATTAATTTCTTTGTAAATTTCCTCCTTTATATACTGGACATTTTTTTCTCATTTCACTGTGTGCTCTAATTGAGTCTTTTCTTATCTCTTTGAGTTTTCTTAAGATCTTTGCTCAGAATTCCTTTTCAGTCATTTCAAGGGCTTCCTGCTATATGAGGTCTGGTACTTGAGTATTACTGTGTTCCTTTGGTGGTGTCATATTTACTTGTTTAATCTTATTTCTAGTATTTCTAAGTTGATGTCTGGTTATCTGGTAGATCAGTTGTTTCCTCTATGACTCTGGAGAGGGCTTTGGGTACAGAGACTTCCTTGTTTTTCCAGACTCCACTGGTGCCTCTCCTAGTGTCAAGGTATTCAAGTGTGTGCAGCCAGCTGCCTGCAGGGTGGTCCTGGTTGCTGCTGTGGCAGTGAGCTGTCCTTGCAGTGTCAGTAGCTGTGATGGTGGCTGTGCTTGACCACCTACGCAGAAGTGGTGTTTATGGCACACTCTTGCCTTCTGTTCAGGTGGTGGGAAGACTGCTTGGGGCTTCCTCCTGGGTCACTTGTCACAGGAGATACTCTTGCCTTTTGTTCTGGTGATGGGCTAATGCTCTGCACAGAACACACTGCTTCCCACTGGGTTTCCCAGGAGGCCCTGGCCACAACAGCAACAGCCACACAGAGTGGGAAGGCACAGGCTCTGGCACCTGTGGCAGGGTGTCCTTAGGCAGCACCACAGGCACTGCCTGGGTCATACACTGGCAGGAGGAAGGCGCTGCTCTAGAGACTCCCAAACACAATTTCAATCAAAAAGTTCTGTGATAGCCATCTCTAATGCCAATCATAATGATCAGTCAATACATATTAAGTAATTCAGCCAAAGTGGTCATTTAACACATTTTCTATGTTAACATTAAAATTAATTGGATTTTAATTAATTTGCCTTCAGATAAAAATGTCATAGTTATTATTTTGGTCACCTAATGTAAAATAGCTAAAACTATTTTATATCCTAGTAAACACTTTTAAATGTTAAGATTTCATTCAGTAAGAAATTGGTTGTTTCTTAGTTATTATCAATTCCATGCATTCATTCCTTCAGTAAATATCTAATGAGTGCCTGTCATGTGCAAGGCATAGTCCTAGGTATCGGGCATACAGAGGTGAACAAAACAAAATCCTTGCCCTCATGAAGCTAATTATCTGATTAAGGGAATGAACCTCATAACTATTATGAAGCATAGAAGTCATAGAATTAGACTTTGGATCTGGAATTTAATCTAACTAGAACTTTATAAATAAGTAATCTGAGATTCATTCATGTTAAGTGACTTACGCAAAATCACTCAATTATTTAATGTAGGGCAGATTCAAACCTCCACTACTGGTCTATTGCAACAGGTTTCAAACACACTCCTCTAGATCTGGACATGTTTTACAGCATCCTCAGAGTCTACCTGGAAAGGTGGAGACTGAGCTGGTGGAAAATGAAGCCTCAATCCCACTTCAATTAGAGCAGTTTTGTGATTATTTGGATTGCATATTGAATCTCCAGGAGAGGATTCCCTTGAATAATTTGACCTGCTTTTTTTATATGCAAGAATGACTGCCCTCTCCAGACAAAATGCGAAAACACATTTTGTTTTTTCTGCAAGATCAAATGATTCATGGACCCTCTGAGTGTCTGTAATTCTAATTTTTAAATAATAATGTTAGAAGGTAATTACCAAAGTTTTTTATCCACCTTATAAAGGTTAAAAACTGTTTCCTGATATATGAAGAGTATGAAGCTGGGTTGGGGTATTTTGTTTATTTGGTAAACTTTGGAGCTTTTGTTGTTTGTTTTATTTTGTTTATTGATAATGGTAGATATGGGAGGTATGATTCAGAAAGAGTTTCTAGACCTCAGTTGAATGGTTTTGACTGAAGTTTCATGAATAGGGTGTAGCAAGCAGGGAGCTCTTCTGCTGGGACCTTAGGCAGTTACTTGACCATTTTCTATAAGAGAAAGAAGAGAAAGACTTTTTTTGCAGGCACAAAAATGCAAATCTGCCTAACCATCCAGGTGAGAGCCCACAGGAATATATCCATCCCAGCTAGCTGGAAAGTAGACACCTGACAAGAGAAAACTCACTAATAACAATTCTTTCTTGAGATTTAGTAAAATTAGAAGATAATCACTCTGCCCACTTCAATCTGGTTTCCAATTCCAAAACTCCACAAATACTGTTCATCCCATGGTCAGCAATGACCCCTTACTTGATAAATCAATGGATTTATCATTTCTTGTACTTTCTTTCTTTTCTATAGTTCAGTGAAGGTCAAAGAAAGAAGCATGAACTACAGCACAGAAGGAATTATCCCCATCAATCCCAACTTCACTACAAATTACGTCGTTTTGAATCACCACCTCACCAAAGTCCATTTGCTAAAAAGTTTTTCCATGTTGATCCACGCAAACCCTATAGACATAAGCTTCCACATTCAGCTATTAAACCCCCCAAACACCCACAATATCCCAGACCACATAAGTGTCCAGTTAAAAATAACACCGTGGTCAGCAATAACACCTCAGGAGCTGTCACCCCAGCCCCATCTGTGAATCCCACACCTGCTCTTGCTCACAGTGCTACCACAACACCTGCAAGAGGAAACGATGTCCCCACAGGCTCTTCTGTACCTCCCCTGAAGACCACAGCTGCCCCACCTGCACCTTCCCCAGCTCCATCTGAGACCACAGCTGCCCTACCTTCATCTTCTCCAGATCCACCGGAGACCACAGCTGCCCCAATTACCACACCTGATTCTTCCCCAACCACTCTTGCACCTGAAACAACAGATGCACCCACAACCCAAGCTACTAAACAGACTTCGTCTTCCGAAGAAGAAGAAATTTCCCAACTTCTTCTAAGTTTAAAAGATCTACTGAACCTAATTTTTGATTATATAGTGAGATAATAGTACATCATACATTGTGTTCTGTCATTTACAAGATGTGATTTATGACTGCAAAGCTATCATCTTTACCACCAATCCTAAAGTAAAATTATATTACTCAAATTCAAAGCACTATCACTAATCTTTGAATCAAACTATTCAGTCCACATGACCTATTAACCAGACAAACCACTTCTATCCCACAAACCAGGTGCATGTTCATGATTCAAAATCATTTTTTGAAACTTACAGAGATAGCCCACTGAGGGGAGAGAAAATCATTAAATAAAGAGAGGGAATTGTATGGGTCATCACCATTTACTTTTTCCCAAATGTTTGAAACTACAAGTTTACACCATTGTACCCTCAGTCACGAACCCACCTGATTCATCTAATCCTATGAGCATAAAGGGATAAAATTTAGTCTCTCCAGAGGAACAAAAACATCTGAATATCTATGTATAATCTATCTATCTATCTATCATCTATCTATATCTATCTATAGATAGACGTGTCATTATACTGCTGATTAATGACAAGATCCTTTACACATTCATCTTAAACTTTAAAGTAAATTCTATTTCTCAAAATGTGAGCCAGGAAAGGGGAAATTTGGTTGGAAGTAAAGGTTTGAAGTGAATGAAAATAAAATCTGGCAGCCAAGCACAAACTAAGACTCTGGCACTACATTTTTGAGAGCATGTAATTGTTTAAACTTCACGGTTCACATTCATTGTATTATATCTGAGATACTTTACATCTAATGTACTTGATTCTAGCCTCTGTGAACCATAGGAAGATGTTTTTGTATGTTCACATGGTACTCATAATATTCTACTGTCAATTCAATTAATTTACATTAATTCAATGTGAAATGTATTCAATAGTAAAATATTTTCTAAAACTTTTAGTCACACATTGGAATGTGTTTTAAAGCCATACCAAACTTCTGCCCTAATGTCAAGTTTGCAAAATTATCACTGAAGAAAAACCCTGACTTTAGTTAGTAGAAGAATAAAATTTATCCACTTGGTATATAAAGATGATTTTAATTTGGGATGTGGAGGTATATTTCTTTTCTGTCACTACTAAATAATTCTGGTGATTGTATTTAGTTTTTTTGCTAACTAATAAATACTTCAAATGGCAATCTATTTTCATAGTGTGTATTTGGAAGTTTCTTGCCTTTCTTGGACTCTGAGACTGGTGAAAGAGGCCTAAATGAAGATTTACATTCTTGTCAGTCCTGTTACTAATCAGCCAAGTGACCTGGGTAGGGCACTTGATATCTCTACACTTTAGTTTTTAGGTTTTTTTCATCCTTCAAACAAAGTGGTTAATTTATTTACATTAACTTAATCTTATTAATCTATGTTTCCAGTCCAAATTCTGTGCTTGCCCTTTGCCTCTCAGTCTGATAATTAAAAATCTCATCCCTATCACTTAATTCTGTCCCTTCCAAGCTCATCCTGGAGCAGCTCTGTTTCTTTTTGGATTGTTTTTTTAAAATAATCCAACAACAAGTCCTTTCCCTGGGGATACTTCTGGTTTTATAATGGCCAAGATATGTTTTTTTGAGGCTGAAGTCTTCACCATAATCAGTATACACTTCATTTACATGAATTGAAATTGTAGCTCAGCATCTGAAATGGAATGGAATAGGATGGATGGAACAGATCACATTATCCTCAGCAAGAACTGTGTACAAACACAGTTACAACAAACACAATTCCCAACTGCCTCAAGCAGTATGAAGGCAGAGAAGGGGAAGTGATCGACCCATTCATTGATCAGAGATGTGTTATTTAGTCTATTGCTTATTAGTACTAATTTTTCTGGCACATGATTGATTATCTGTTTCATCACTGTAAAAAGAGGATTAATGTTGTACAGTTTCTTTTTACTAACATAACTTGTGATTAGTTAGTAAGCAAAATGAGGGACCATTCTATCCATTGTTGACAAAAGTGTCTAGAAACTTCGTGGTATTTTTTGCAAAAGAGGATATACAAATCAACGTTTTTAAAGTTTGTAACAATTATAACATTTTAAATGAACCTTTATAAGTTGCCCTTAAAATAGCTCACTTTTTTATTAAAAGAAAGAATTAAGAAGCGAAAAATACAGAGGCATGATCCAAGTTCACCTGCTAGATCTGGAAGTATAAGTGATGATAACTTTGAGGAAAATTTTTACTCTAATCAACAGACTTCAGCCAAAAGTTGAGCCCCACTAGGAAAGAAAGTAAGGTGTGCAAAACCTAATGAAAATGATAGACACAATATAAAGTTCATAATGATATTCCTGAAAGTTAAAGCTTAAAATCTTCAAGACATAAAGATTGTCTTGAAGACATTGAACCTAGCATACATTATTTTTTAGTAAACTCACTGAAAAGCCTCAGAGAAAGAAAAGTGTAAGTTTGGACACAATTTCTTAGTTTTCCATGATCGTTAATGAAATGAGCTTATGTCTTGGTCCATTAGTGCTGCTATAACAAAATACCTGAGACTGGGTAATTTACAAAGAACAGCTATTTATTTTTCACAGTTCTGGAGGCTAGGAAGTCCAAGGTCAAGGTGCCAGCAGGTTCAGTGTCTGGTGAAGTCCTTATCTCTGCTCCTAAGATGGTGCTTTGAAAGCTGCATCCTGTGGGGGAATGAATGCTGTGTCCTCACATGGCAGAAGAGCAGAAGAGAACAAACCTACTTCCTTAAGCCCTTTTGTAAGGGCCCGAGTTCCATCCATTAGGGCTCTGCCTTCATGACTCAATCACCTCCTAAAGTCCCACCTCTTAATACTATCACATTGGCAATTAAGTTTTAACATATGAATTTGGGGGACACATTCATACCATAGCAGCTTATATATTTAATTTATTTGCACATTGTGGTAAAAAAGTTAGATTATAAAAATGTTGAGAAAATTTTCCTTTTGGTTTGTATCGATATAGTGCCTATGATTTTTAAAGATAAATCAGCTAAAAATGACCACTCAATAATAATACATATATTAGTATTCTATTGCTACTGTGAAAAACTTCCACAACCGTACTGGCTTAAAGCAACACACATTTATTGTTTTAGAGTTCTGAACATCAGAAGTCCTAAAAATCAAGGTGTTGTAGGACTGCATTCTTTCCCAAGGCTCCTGGGGACAAACTGCTTCCTTCCAGATTCTTAAAGCCACCTGCTTTCCTTGTCTCATGGCCCCACCCTCCATTTTCAAAGCCAGCAGCACAGTCTCTTCTGATCTCTCTCTCCACTTCTGTCTGCACATCACTTTTTCAAACTTTCACTCTCTTGCCTCCTATTTTTCCTCATAGGACCTTTGTGATTACACTGGTCCCACCTGGATGACACAAGATCATCTCTCCCTCTCAAGATTCTTAATTTAATAACACCTTCAAAGTTCTTTTTGTTGTGTAAGGTAAGATATTCACAGATTTGTACATGGGTGTCTTCGAGGGTCCATTATTCTGTCCTCCACAATGCATTTACTCATCAAACATTTACTAATAACATGTACAAACATTCTTTATTATTCTGATATAACCTGGTATGGATTTTTGCCATTCAATTTAACAACAGCACTGATAGTGGAAGTTATACAGCTCTTTTAATGCATACCAGATATATAATGTCTGACAAGGTGATTTTATAAATGATTAGTTGTGTTTAAATTTCACCTCACCCACAAGCACATGAGATATAGTCACAGAATTGACAAAGTTGGTCAATATAAATTAAATCAGCAGATGTGTTTAAATTATTAAAAATTATTAGAACTTTATTTATAATTAAAAATCCCTAATGCCAATGCTCTTCAGAATCATATTTTATACAACACAAAATTTCAGCATTCAAAGAAATTCCACCAACTCCAGTGAGAAGGGAATCACCTTGGAGAACAAGGTCATCAGCAGAGGTGGAGACTGAAAGAAGCAGTGTTTCATCTTCATAAAACACAATACGAATCTAAGAAGCAGAAAGGCTCAGTCACAATAATCGTTAAAGAACCAAGTGTCTCTGTAGAAACAGAAGAGGTGCTTTTTGAACTCATAAACTGTGAAAACTTCCCTAATCCCTTTCATCCTCTCTATGTGGTACCCTGGTTAGTAGGTGGTCCAGGAAAATCCAAATCAGTAAAATATGGCTAGCAAAAAAGTAGCGCATCCTTACAGAGATACAAAAAGAGAGAAAGAGAATCACAATTTCTTGGGAATAAAGCAAATTCACCAGGGAAAAAAACAATGTTACCACAAGGAAGAGAAAAATTGAACACAACATTCAAACACAAAATTAAGAAAAAAATAGTAAAATGATTGTAAGTGTGAAGGAACAACAAATATAAAAGAACAGTTTATTAGGCAGTTCAAAATTAAGATTAAAGAAAATTATTTGAGCATCCAGTTTGCAGACTGATTATCATGGGACACTTCAACCTTCACAATCACGTGAGCCAATTCCCCTAATAAATCCACTCTCATATATTTACATATATGTGCTATTGGTTCTGTATCTCAGGAAAGCCCTAATACATGTAATAACTATGTAAATCATATTGTAAGTTAGGTAGTATATTGTACTAGTTTTCTATTACTGCTGTAACAAATTACCACAAACTTAGTGGCTTAAAACAAAGCAAATGCATTCTTTATAGTTCTGTAGGTTAGAAGTTCTACGTGGGTATCACTGAACTAAAATCAAGGTGTTGGCAGGACTGAGATCCTTTCTGGGGCCTCTAAGGAAGATCATTCCCTTGCCTTTTCCATCTTCTACAGGCCCCTTTCTCCACCTTCAGAGCCAGCAATATTTCATCTTTCTATGCCTTTCCTCCAAAGTCACATCTCCCCTCATTCTCTTCTGCCTACCTGTTCCACTCTTCTTTTTACAACTTCATTCCACTTTTAAGGACCCTTGTGGTTATATTAAACCCACCATGTAATCCAGAATAGTTCTCTATTTTAAAATCAGATGATTAATAATCTTAATTCCACCTGCAACCTTAAT